CTGGGGACTAAGACAGAAATAGGTGGGAAGAGAAAACGAAAGATCACTTCCAAAGAGCTAGTCCTGCTACAGTCCCCTTTGCTCCATTCTCCTCTCGGGCTTTTGAGCACACTCATGCCCTGCGCGTGTTTCAGGTTGCCGAGTCTGAGACTCCAACTGTGCAGTCGGCCACGTGGGATCCAGACGCCTTCACCCCCACACTCCCTGGCCGCCACTGTTCAGCTGTTTATAATGAGCGCCGTGACATGCTAGACACAGAGAGGAAGAGCAACACCAATCTACAAGGGTGAGGCGACAGGCCAACCCAGCACACTTATCTGGAAGGCCATTTGGAGACAGGTGGTCCTCAGCTCCCTGAAGCTGTGCAGCAAGAGGCCCACTCTGCAGACTCCTGAAAGCACCAGGATGCAAATACTATGGGCTGTGGCCTCTGTGGAGAGGGAGTCAGGCTCAGAGCTCACATGGGGGGACCCCGAGGAGTCAGATTAACTACTGCTGGCTTTATCTTCAGGCCACCATTCCCAGAAAAAGGCCTTCCACTTCTTTTATGAATAAATAGGACCAGCAGGGGACGTGATGGTTAAAGTATTGGATTCCCAGATGGCCGACCGCAGTTCAAGTCCCGGACCTGGCAGCTTGCTTCCTCTCTCTCTCTCTCTCTCTCTCTCTCGTCTCTGGTCAAATTAAAATAATAATAATAATAAATAAAATAATTCTTTTGAAAGTGAATAAATAAAACTGCAGAAGTTCGAGGAGCTGGCTGGAGGGGCAGGGACGGTGCAGGCACAGATAGCAGAGGGACTGGAGTCGGAGACCAAGGCGCGGAGCTGGGCATGAGCCCGACTTGGCTGCCAGGGTGCTCCTCGAGGGCGGGTGGGCTGAGCGGAGCTGGGCGTGGTGGGCGGTGCCGACCCTGGTTGTGCCGAGCAACGCCAGCATTAGGCCATCGGCTGGCAGATGGGGGAGCTGAGTGCCGGCCACAGAATGGGAGCCTGCGGCTACGGGAGGAGGCCACGGTGGGGATAGATCAGTGGGGACAGCAGGAGTCCCGTTTCACCTCACAGAGACGCAGATGGCCCCGTGAGGAGGTGTTCACGGAGGCGCATGCAGATGGGACTCCGCGCTGTGTACGAACACGAGGTTTATACTACTGTGCTGTTGGTTGGGGGGGCCCAAAAGAAACACCGCCGTCATCTGTCCCAGGCGTCGAGGGAGCAGCTTTCCTGGACAGGGGCCAGTCTGGAGAATGACGCCACCACAGGCTTCCAGCGTGGCCCTCGGGGCGGTTCCTGAAGGCCCGGGTGTAGCTGGGCATCCAAGACAGGGCGCACCCCCAGAACGAGAGGCACCGTTTCCCGTTCCCAGAGCCCCCAGTCAGCCATCTCGCACAATCCCTCGAAAAGTGGTGGGGCGGTGTTAGAAACACAGCTTCCCGGCTGACGCTGGCCTCGAGAATCTGACTCACATCACAGGAGGGCAGGGCCGCCGTCCCGGGCTGACCCACTTCACGGTGACACCTCTCCACTGGGGCGGTGGGTGGGGACAGCGGCTGCCTCCTGTGCAGAGACCCTCACAGTCGCTCTCGGGGCACCCCTCCTGCCTCCTGTACCCGCTCTCGGGGTACCCCTCCCGCCTCCTGTACCCGCTCTCGGGGCACCCCTCCCGCCTCCTGTACCCGCTCTCGGGGCACCCCTCCCGCCTCCTGTACCTGCTCTCGGGGTACCCCTCCCGCCTCCCAGAACCCCCCACACCCGCTCGCGGGGTCCCCCTCCCGCCTCCCAGAACCCGCTCTCGGGGTACCCCTCCCGCCTCCCAGAACCCGCTCTCGGGGTACCCCTCCTGCCTCCAGGTGCCCCTGAGGAAGGTAGGATGTGCCCCCATTCATCGACCAGGAGGTTCCCCCTGCATCGGCTTGCCCCATCACACTAGTCTAATGGACCTTCAGGCCCAGCCCACCACGCGCCCTCCAAGAACCAGGCTGACCCAAAACAGAACCATTCCCTGAGCACCCCCGACCTGCCAGGCACCCCGAGGCACGGCACCCAGCGTCCTCTCGATGTGTATAAACCTGAACCGGAGCGCGTGTGACGTCCCACTGCCAATTTTAGTTGGCCGGCTGTGTGCAAAAACAGGATGCGCAGGGAACAGAGGCCGCAGTGCTAGCCACGGGGGGCGGAGGGGCCTGTGTCCTCCCCAGCTCCAAACACACCCAGAGCCCCGGCCTCCACTGGAGACTGACACCGGAGGACCGAGTGCAGAGGTGACCGCGTCCGCCTCCCTCCCGAGGCCAGTCAGTGGGCAGAGGCAGTGTGGCTGGCGCAGTCACCACGCACGGACAGGCGCTAAGGGTAAAGCCATTTCTGCTGGGCCACGTGATCACACGGGTTGCCCAGCTCCTCTGCAGGGCAGGCCAACTCCTTGCCTTGGGATGATTTACACCCCAGTTCTACACCCAGGAAAACCGGTTTCCACTGCAGATTCCTGGAGAAGGAGCCTTGCACTCTGTCCACCAGGGTCCACCCCCAGGGTCCTGTACCACCAGGAGGAGCTCACCGTCGGGGTAGGGGGGCTGGGTGGGCATGCACAGGGGGCAGAACAGAGGCCTGCCCACCCACCCAGGCCCAGGGAACGGGCACTCAGGGGGCAGCTTCTCAGGGGGTAGGATGGCCGCCATCTCGCCACCCAGGGAAGCTGCAGCATGAAGCTGAGGACAGGGACAGGCAGGGGGCTTCGCGGCACCAGGGAGCTCGCCTGTCACAGAGGGAAGTGCCAGCCACAGGGCAGGGCCCCCGTGGGGGCCACCGAGAGGAAAGTGCCAGCCACAGGCACGGGCCACCCTGTGGCCCACAGAGAGAAGCCCCATCCACACTGCACCAGCCTCTGCAGAACAAATTGTGCCTCGGAGACACGGCAGCACCCGGAGAGACCCACAGCCGCACTCCCACCAGGGCACCCTCGGCCCCGAGGCATCCCTTCCCAAAGGATGTACTGTCATCCTCGGCAGAGGGTGTGCAGGCTGAGGTTGCCCGGGCACACGCCCAGTGCCACCCCGCCTCCATTACAGCAAAGCTGTCCCTTCAGTGTGCCCCGATGTGCACCAAGCCCCAGCTCACTGGTAGGGACCTGTGGCTGCAGGTGACACTGCAGACATTGGCACGAGCGTTTCCTGGCACAGCAGGCAGCTCCGTCCAACCCGGGAAGTCGGTTCAGAAACCACAGTCACGCTTTCTGAGACACCAGGCCTAGGAGCCTGTGAGAGGGGAAGCCGTGACTGACAGCACCCTGACGGTGTCATACCGCACCCCAGAACTTCCCTGGCACCACTACCGAGCCCCCGCCCCTGCCGAACACATGCCCCCGCTGAGCTCATGTGGCCAGGGTCCCAGGACACCCCTGCTACGGCATGTCCCGGGAGAAGGGCTTTTCCCTCCGTATGGACACTGTGGGCCCAGCTGAAATCTGCAATGTGGGCTGAGGACCACGCACAGCAGCTGACGCAAGGCCACCCTGGTCTCCTGCCCCTGCAGTGGCTGCGTTTGGACAAAGGGAAAGGACCTGCAGTCACTGGCTCGAACCCGCAATAGCAGAGAAGCCCAGCCTGCCTCCACTGGCCGGCTCCCCTAGGGAGCCCTCGAGCCTCCCAGAATGACCTGACGCTGGAAGGAACCCGGGGCCGTGTGCACGCAGGACCCGTGAGGCAGCTGAGGAGAAGGCTTTCCAGAAGGAGCCCAGGCTGATCGAGGTCCTTCTGGAACACAGCCCAGAACGCGGTGCCAGCAGGCCCACGGTGCCGCCACCCAGCAGGCCGAGGGGAGAACTGCTGCTCGACAGGCATGTGCAGAGGGACCAGCTGGAAGCGGCTCAGCTCGTACAGGAGGGCCGCAGCGCTGCGCTCACAGGGACTGAGCCAAAGGAGCCCGGTGGCCCCAAATGCAGCAGGAAGTGCTTAGGCAGACGTGAGGGAGGGCGTGCCACGCCACCTGGACAGGTGCCATTCACAGAAGCCAGCTGCTGGCAGGGTACATCTGGTCGGAGAATATCTGGGGAGAAAGGATCTCGGGAACCCCCAGCCCGCCCCCACCTTGGAGCACACACTGCGGAACGGTGCATGGGACACCATTTCTCCCCCCAGAGAGAGACTGTGGGGTAGAGACCCCGGGGTGGGGGCTTCCCTCTGGGGAGGCCTTGCCGAGGCGCTCTGACGGCATGAGGGCTGTGCCCGCGGGCCGGCTCTCCCACGCACCCGCACCGGCCCACCTCCAGGAGCGGAGGGAGGCCCGGAGCAGCCCAGACCACGGCCATCAGTCACATCACCAAAGGAGCTCCCAAAGGAGCAAACCGCCCGTGACCCCACTGTCTGCCCCGGCCTCCGCCTCACTGTGCCTCCTCTCCCCACAGAGGGCCCGCCCTGGCTTATTTGGTAGCAATTCAAGTTCTCAGAAAACAAAACCTATTGTCTCCTGGCCTCACTGTCCAGCAGCTTCTGATAAGTCAGCTGACCCACCACCCACCACGGCAGAGCGGGAAGGGGTCTGGACTCGGCCCCTGCCCCGGGCAGGCCTGGAAGTGGGTCTCCGGCCAACAGCCAGCTGACGCACACAGGGCCTCTGTGCAGACCTAATGCAGCCATAAAGGACAGGCAGCTCGGGCTCCCAGCACCTCCCAGCGCCCCACACAGACCCCCGAGACACACAGCCCAGTCAGCGCGGTCCCAACACCTCGCTTTTCCAGGTCCTTTGTGATGATACCCGCTTCACCGATAGAAAAGGTGATCCTGGGGCCAGCAGGCAATATGATGTTTCAGGTCCTGGACCCAGTGTCTTGAAAATCACGCCAGGCACATGTGCACGTGTGCCCAAAATCCTAAAAGAAGAATGGGGACGAGACCGCAGCACGGCCATCCCCACCCCTTGCCCCCCGGGGGCAATTTCTCACTTTCCCTCTCTCAGTCTCTCTCCAGGAAGCTCACATACAGAACGGCAAAAGAAAAAAAACAAGAAGAAAGAAAAAGTTACCCCTGATATTGTGTGAGTTACCCTGTCGAGACTCGTGGTTATTACACATCAAGATGCGAGTACTAAAGGGAGGGCCAGATCCATCACCGTGAGCAACGTGAGCCAGGGCATGGGGGCAGCAGGGTGTCCAGGCAGCAGTGTGCGGGGCCAGGAGCACCGAGGCCACCTAGCAAAGACCCCGGGGGCGGGTGTCCCTGCTGGGTGGGGCGCCAGGTGGGTGTGCGGAGACGTCTACTGCTCCAAGCCCTGCACCCCAGGAGGGGCAGACCAGAAGGGCCGGACACACGGCTCTCCTATCATCGCCCAGCTGTCTGTCAGTCCAGCCCCCTCCCGGCCCTCCCCGTGGTGTCCTATAAATCAGTTCGTGAATTTCCATGGCCCTTTTGACCATGGCTTTCTCGGTCCGACCCCTTCCGGACAAACCACGAGCCAGGAGCCCCAGCTCAGGCGCAGCACCCAGCCCTGGTCCGCTTGGGCGGCCTGTAGCTGGTGACATCCACGGTCTGTGGGGGCCCCTCGGCTCTCTGCCGCAGGATCATCGGCACCATCAAGTCAAACAGGGTCTCGAACAGCAGGTCCACGTTGTGTCCGGTTTTGGCGCTGGTTTCGAAGCACATCTGCTCAGCGGCCGGCACGTCCTTCTCATCCAGCATCTTGTAGTTGAGGATCTTTTTATAAAGAGCCACCGCGTCCTCCGGCCACACCTGCCTGGGCACCAGGGGGGAGCCGCTGCCACCTCCCTCCCGCCCAGGGCCGCCCTCTCCCCGCTCCTGGCTCTGGACGGCCCCTTCCTGGGTGAGGTCCACCTTGCTCCCCACGATGGCGAAGAGGCAGTCCTTGCTGGCCGTGTCCGTCAGACCCAGGAACCTGTCCCCCAGCTCCAGCAGGCTCTGCGGCTGAGTGACGTCGTAGGTGAGGATGATGGCGGCCGCGCCCCGGCAGTACATGGAGCCCAGGCCGTGGAACTGCTCCCGCCCTGGTGAGAAGAGGAAGCAGAGAAGGACTCGGTCATCTCATGCCAGGCATCCCCACTGGCCCCCACAGGATCATGGCCCTGGCTGTGGCCAGAGCTCCAAGGGACCAAGACGTGGAATCCAGGCCACAGGGTGGCTGACCCAGGCCCATGTGGAGTTGGGAGCCAACCCAGGAGCCCAGACCCCCAGAACAAAAGTGCTCAGTGTCCTGTCCACTCCCCACTAAGAGATCACAGACCCACAGCCCTGGGACCTGGTCCTCCACAACGGAGCCTTCACCAGGGCAATGTCACAGGACCAAGCCACACTGGGACACATGCTGCCAGAGACACACAGAGCCGCCTGCCTCCTGGTTAGAGGTCGTGTTGCTGGCTCTGATTTTGCCTCTTAAAAGAAGTTTAAAAGAACTTAAACACCACCACCATGGGTCTTGGGTCTCAGTGACACGTCTACACCCCACTCTGAAGGGGCCAATCCACCTGCACAGGGCATTCAGGCGCCTTAGAGCGGGAGAGCCAGCCCCTCCAGAACCGCAGCTGAGCCCCCGTCCCCGCCCAGCTGCCAGCCTCGCTCAGCACCTGGAGGGACGGAGGGCTCGGGAGGGCCCAAACTGCGCTATGAAGCTGGCCAGGGGGGCGGGCTAGTGGGGAACACACACGCACACACGTGTACACACACATGCATATACACAAGTACAGGCGCACACACACAGAGAACCCACTCTCCATTAGAACAAACACAGAAGGCAGCTCTGCCTCCCACTGGGCTGTCCTGCCGCGCTGTCCCACTGCACAGGACACTGCGTGGCAGAGGCTGAAACAACGCAGCCGGCAGGGGGAGCGGGCAGGACACGCCTGCCTGAGCCTCACCAGGTCCTCAGAGCCCGGCAGGAGTGCAGATGAGCCTGAGCTCAGGCCTGCGCCCAAGCCCGAGCCAGAACCAGAGCCTGAACCCAAGCCAGAGCCGGAGCCCACAATCAAGCCAAGTCCGAGCCCAAGACAGAACCAGAGCCAAAGCCAGAGCCCAACCAGCCCCGCGGCCTCACCCAAACCACCTGCACAGAGGGAGGCAGGCCCGAGAGAAGGCTGTCCTGAGCCCCAGGACCCTCCTCGCCCTCCTCCCTCCCTGCCCTCTGGAAGAGGGGGTTGCAGAGGGAGGGCAGCCTGGGGCAGGAGACGAGTGGGGGAAGCTGTGCACCCCAGACTCCCCAAGGCTTGGCCCCCAGGGCCTGGCCCAGGGCTGTCCGGGCCCCAGGGCGGGACAGTCGGCCTTCGCAGCTAGTCCTGCTGTCTCTGCAGACTCTTAGGGCGGGGGCCTGGCCAGGCTCCTGAGCTGGGCATGCGACGTGACCCCACACACTCAGCACAGGCAGCCCATGCTGGGGCTCACACCTTCGTCCACACAGCCTTCTCCCCACCTGCGGGGTAGAGGCAGCTGTTGCAGTATGCACCCTGCAGACTCGGCCAGTGCAGAGCAGGTGACCATGAAGCGTGTGGGGTCGTGAACCCACAGATCATCCCTTCCTCGCGTTTTCAACACCCAAACAGGCTTTCCATGGCAGGAAGTTTTCGGTTTGCTTTTTGTTTGGTTGGTTTTGTTTGTTGTTTTTTTTTTCTCTTTTTGAGAGATTTTTTGCAACAGGGCACGTTTGCTCACTGGAGAGACAAAGCTAGAAATCACCACCCTCCGGGAGTATAGCCATGCCGCAATCCCGTCTCCATTCTCTCAGGATTTGGGGCACACATGCACATGTGCCTGGCATGAGTTTCAAGCCACCAGGTCCAGGACTTGAACCACAGTTGATCACATGGGAGTCCAGTGTCTTAACCACACCACCTACTGGCCCCTTGGTTTGCTTTGTAACAATTGGGTCTGATGCTCGAGGCTGTAGAAGCCTTGTTCAAGTCAGAAGCCTAATTTTTGCCCTGAACCTATAGGACCCATGCCTGCCTATGACCCAGTCAGCCTGCAGCCCCTGGCTGGTGCCTGTTTCTCTCCCTCTCTCTCTTTTTTTCTCTTATAGGAAAAGTAAATAAATAAAACATTTAAAAAACTGAGACCAACAGGCAGTTGTTAGGAAAAGAGAAAGGATAAGCAAATGAACGAATGAAAAAGACTTTCTCGCCATGTGACCTGGCACCCACAGACGGCCACCCAGCCACCGCGAGGTGCCCCAGCAGCTGAGTGTCATCAGCCCGACCCGCCAGATTTCACAAGACAGCAAGCACGGGAACAGGGCCGGGGACATTCCAATGAACCCGGAAGGATGTTTCTCTAATCTGTTACAGAGTTCACTGGGGACAAAGGAGCGTGTGTTCCTGCCTGGGCCTCAAAGCGTTTTCCCTCCCAGATAAAGACGTCTGATTTGCCTTTTAGAGTAAGAAGAGAAATAATAATAAAAGTAATACACAAAGAAAGGTCATAGTAGCCACCAGAAGTGGGAGCTGACGGATCCCCAGTGCTGGTCAGCGAAGGGCGCACAGAGCCGCACCCCGGCAGGCGCACCCCGGCCGCACCGGCGCATCTGGACCCGCTCAGGAATTTAGACAGGCCCTTCTCACGCTGGCCGTGGCTTGCCCAGGTGCCCAGCTCGCCGGCCTTTGGCAGTGCTGGTAGGAGCTGCACCACTCACCTGGTCTGGTCAGCCCAGGGCTCTGGCCCCACAGCCAGACCTGAGGCTATTCAGTTCCCAGCGGATCCTAAGTAAAGGGAACACAGAATTGATTCCTGGGGTGTCAGCAGTGGAGCTGGAACGTAGGGACCCAGGTTTGGGAAGGAAGGCAGGAGAGGGTGCCTGAGCCAGTTTCCAGGGGAGGCACTTGCGATGCGCCCAGCTCCCGCCCACCCCTGTAGTCCAGGACAGACTCTTAGGGCGGGGGCCTGGCCAGGCTCCTGAGCTGGGCATGCGACGTGACCCCACACACTCAGCACAGGCAGCCCATGCTGGGGCTCACACCTTCGTCCACACAGCCTTCTCCCCACCTGCGGGGTAGAGGCAGCGGTTGCAGGCTGGAC